TCTCACTGTATCTCTAAATAAAAGCCTCTCCCTGGCTCTCCTACCTTGATTGCTTGCTAAGTTCATTCTTAGACTCTGCAAACAAGAACCCCGGCATCAATAGCACACCCCTCTTTCCCAGGTAGGACAACCAAAAATGTCTCCACATTTCCCCATTGTGGGGAAATCACTTGGGGCAGAGAAGCCCGTGTCGACGCGTGTTAAGTGGTCTATAACTCAAGTGTCATCATGAAGCTGGGAACATATGTTTCCTTTTCACATGCCAAACTAACAACCCAGTTCTAGAAACATAGCAGTTGCTCCATAAACTGCCTGTCGGGGTAAACTTAGTTGCCAGCATAGTCATCTTATGCCTTTTTAAAAAAATAATTCATTCATTCATTTGTCTATCTGTCTGTCTATCTATCTATCTATCTATCTATCTATCTATCTATCTATCTATCTATCATTAATCTACAATTACATGAGCGACATTATGGTTACTAGACTCCCCCCATCATCAAGTCCCCATCACATACCCCATTACAGTCACTGTCCATCATCTTATGCCTTTTTAAGTACCTTTTAAGTAACTTCCATTTGTCCTTTAGCTCTCACCTCAAATATCACCTCTCTACGGATGCTTTCCACAAATCTAGATGTGTCAGATTCTCTTTTTCTACTTCCTGTGTTCTCTACTTATTTCCTCAAGCACCCTGGCATGGCCGTAGAAGAGCACGCTATAAGCCTGTGGGTAAAATTGCAGTATTTCCAGACTCTCTTACCTGGTTCCAGTGCATCTCAATAGAATAGGCTCACTGTCCATCATCTTATGCCTTTTTAAGTACCTTTTAAGTAACTTCCATTTGTCCTTTAGCTCTCACCTCAAATATCACCTCTCTACGGATGCTTTCCACAAATCTAGATGTGTCAGATTCTCTTTTTCTACTTCCTGTGTTCTCTACTTATTTCCTCAAGCACCCTGGCATGGCCGTAGAAGAGCACGCTATAAGCCTGTGGGTAAAATTGCAGTATTTCCAGACTCTCTTACCTGGTTCCAGTGCATCTCAATAGAATAGGCGTTTCCAGGGGATGGAGAGGAGTAGCCATCTCCATATGAGTAGGTCATTACATAGGCCAGCAAGGACTTATCTGGACTGGAGAGGTTGGGTGGGGGGCTCTTCTTCTGCAGCCTGGTCACAAGAGACATGTGGAAAGAAATAAACTTTATTTCTCCCTTTGACTGATTTTGGTTTCAAAGGTATTTGCCTGGGATTTTCCCCCCAGAGTTACAAGCCCTATATTTTAAGGAAAACTAAGGCTCAGAGAATGGACATGGCATGTTCAAGAAAACTGGGGTTCTAGGAGGAAAGCTGGTCAGAAACCAGAGGCCAGTATGATAAGAGTAGAAAACCACATGGATGGGGACCCCAGGAACACATGATACCACCCTACAGCACATACTGACCCAGGATGACAGGTGACACCCCATGGATAAACCAGCCGGTGAGGCTGAGGATGCCACTAAAAGCCAGGTTTGAGGGGTGCTGAGCAGCAGGTGGAGAAAGGAAGAGTCTAGATGAGGAAGAGTATCCACCGTGGCGGCCTGAGTGAGCTGGCCTCCTGGTGTGCTGCACTCCTGTCCTCTCCTAGGAGACGTCAGTCATCCTCTCAGTGACTGATGTCGGTAACCGACACTGCTGTACGGGGTCCTGTGCTGGGCACGGAAGATGCAAAGGTGACATGACAGAGGTGGTCCCTCTCTCTCAACCCTGACCTAGTTACCACACAAATACATGTTTAATTACAGACTGTGACAGAGCCTGGAAAGGAGAGGCGCAGTGTGTGTTGGGAACTTGTAGCAGAAGGATACCTCCTCGTCTGAGGGTTGGGGAGGCTTCCCTGCGGAGGTGATAATGGAGCTGAGGACAAGGGTGAATGGGAGTAATTATGCTCAGGTGGGAGGGAGATGCTCCAGGCTGCAGAAACAGTGGTACCAAAAGACTCTGAGGCAGAACCACGGAGGAATGAGGTTGAAAAATGCAGGGCCTTAGAACACAAAATCAAGCCTATACTTTAAAAAAAAAAGGGTAAACTGACTAGAAACAAAGAAAATAAAGTTAATGCTCCATTTGATGTTTTAGATGGAGGACAAAAATAATGTATTACCTCAAAAAGAGAGGTAGTCTGCTTTACAGGCAGGGCCTCCCTCCTGATGGTGGATTCTTGGTGGGGTTGTCAGTCCCTAGTTTGGTCTGAGAATGTCCAGCAATTCAGTTTTTCCAGTTCATCTAGTAATCAGATTCAGGGGATTGATTCACATAGACCAAAGTCATGGAAAACAGATGTATAAATCAAAATGCCTATGTATAATTTTGCCATAAGAAATTCAACTACCTAGCCAATTGAAATATTCATGTCTGTGGGCCAATGAACTTCTTTACCTGCAAAGCAGTTCAAAAGGAAGGGCAAATGCCAATCAGAAGGCAAATGAATGAGCAGGAATTCAATAAAACTTACTGGTCAAATAATCCAGCTGTCACCATTCTCTACTAGAAAGAGGATATTTTCTGAGCCCCAAATCCTAACAAAGAACTCTAACCTGATTTATGAGTGCCATTCATTTTTAGTTGCCTATATTGGGCCTTTACTAATAAATAATATTATTAAATAATCATTAATATAATTACACAACTATATAACCAATGTTATTTATATCATTATGTAATCATATAATTAATAATATTATAAATTGAATAAACCACTGTAATTAGAAAGAATAAAATAACATGAGAAGAAATATGACACTCAGCAAGATATATAAATGTAATTCAGTATTTGTGCCATTTTTATAAAACATTCATCTATCCAACTTGATAGTTTGATTTCTACTAACACTTATTTTCTGCTAAATCTGTTTTCTCAACTATTGTCTTTTTACTTAGTTAAAAAAAGTACCTCTTAAAAAGCCTTTGAGTAATTTAAGAGATATTTAGTTTCATTCATTACTGAAGATATTTTCAATTATTTAATATTATTCATTAGACAGAGAAGCAGTAACAATTCAGTAGCAGTAATTAACCCTAGCACTAGATATAGTTTCTCAATACCATTTCCAGGGTTCCTCGGAGAAACAACTGATCAAGATCTAGGGCAGGAATTATTCAAGATAAGTCTAGAACGTGTTGTTATACCTGAGATCAAAGCCACTATCAAAGACTCCGGGGTCATGGCAAAATGATATAGAAACTAATTTGAAGGGGCTCTTCCTGGCCACAGTTGGGTCAATCTGAACACCAAAAAAACTAATAATCAAACATATCCAATATGTAAAAATCCTATAGCTCATACACCTTGCTGGCACTTTGATCTTGGACTTTGCAGCCTCCAGAACTGCGAGAAATAAATTGCTATTGTTTAAGCCAGTCTATGGTATTTGTTATGGCAGCCCAAGGGGACTAATACAGTAGCCAAACCTAATTAACACAAAATTAGCCATCACATAAGCATTTATTTTATCTGAAATATACTTTAAAATAATGAAAAATATATTTTTTTAAACAGGAAGGCAGATAAACATGATTGGCAAAATACTGATAACTGTTAAAACTGGGTGATATAAAAGTTTCATTATTGCATTATCTGAATTTGTCTCATAAACCATTTGAAGGAAATATTCCAATCCAATAATGACAGAATAATTTACACATCCTCTTTATACTTGCCAGATGAATGTTTTAATAATGAAATTCTTTAAGAACTTTTGTCCAGCTTGTTAGGAAAGAGTATAAAACCTAAATGTGATTTATTCCTACTAGGATGTTTAAACACTTTAACAGTAAGGTATTAACAAAGGGCCACGCGGTGGAAGCTGTCCGGGCTGAGAGTAGGGGTGGGGGAATTGATAAGGGCCTGGCAATACCTGTTTGAGTTTTTTAAACCTACCAATAAAATTAAGACAAATGTAAAGGAAAGATATAACGGGTTTAGGCCATGTCCGGGGAAGACTGTGAACCCTGTAGTACTCAGCCAATGAGGAACCAGGGAGGGGGACTCACATACTAGGAGATAAATTATTGGCGCCAAACTCCCCAGGTGTGCCTGCCCACCAGACACCTGATCTTGCAAGATCCTCATTAAAGCCTCGCTCCGCTGTTCTCTTTGTCTCTGTGTTCACTTAATGAATTTGGACCAGTGAGTGTGTTTCTCACAAGCTCTGATATGTAGCTTCCTTTTTCCTATTCAGCCAGCACATTCTCATTAAGATATGACTTGAGGACATGGAGGTCATTAAAGTGATCACCATACCATGCAACGGGAACATATCGTCAAAAAAAAAAATTCTCTGTCTCCAGCAGTACATGCCATTCAGGGTTTTTTGCAACTGCAACCACAATAGTTGATAAGGGTATTTGAGATTTGCCTCCCAAAGATATAGACAATGTACCATATTATCATACATCCCTGTAACAAGGTTCAAAGTACATTAAATAGTATTGTTATACTGATCTCATCCTTTGCCTAGCAAAAGCTTAGAATATTGTCTTCTGAATTTCTACATAAATGCAAACATTTATATGCTACTTCCTATCACCACATTTCTGTTTTAGCTGACTGAATGCTAAATGATGTAATCAGAAGCAAAGTTGTTATTTAGGGTCTTTGAATTTTTTTCCTTAAGAATACCAGGAGACTTTTCACCTAATAATTAATGAACTCTTGAAGGTTAAAAGCATTTTTACTATTTTAGAAATAGGTATTTTTAGAAATCTCATACTCCACAAACAAAATTTCCACAGAGAAATATTAAAAATTTTTCCATCCAAGCAGAATAGGGTCAGAAAACCTGCTGAAGTGCACACGTCGGAAGTGTCCCTTCTGCTCTGTTCCCTGAATAATTCATCAGTGGGGCCCTAGTAGGCTTGAAAAATAGGCCTCTGCATAATTGTTTCTAAGTGGAAACTGGGTTTTCAGGCGAGTTGTTTGGTGGGAAATCCCAACTGGTATAGTAAGAGCCTTACCTTTCAGGTGCCCTGATTTGGTATTTCAGTCTACAGTTCCAGAACTCCGGCTGTCCTTTCCTGTTCTGAGAGATGTGGGCTGGGCACGGCCAGAGCCAAGCTCCCCTGGGGCCCACAGCCCAGGGCCCATGCTAACCTGCCTGGGCTGCAGGAGGGGCTGCCACTCTAGGTCTCCCAGGCTGACAGCAGCACGTCCAAAATGGGGCTGACGGACTAAGGCCACATGACAGGTGAGACAGAAGGGTCACACAGTGCCTGCAGGTGCCTCTGTAAACTCAAAAACAAAACAAAATATGCCAGGAAAGGGGAGCGGGTCATTCCATCAGTGCCTAAAAATACCCAAGGAAGAGCATGGAATCATCTCAGCACCCCAGAGCTCTGAAGAGTGTGTTTACCAGAAAAAGAAAAGGGTTAGAGGAGAAGGGAGGAGAGCCTGGAGACGGGCAAAATCGTATTCAGGTCACTCAAAGGCTGGCACGAATGCCCCGGGCAGAGAGATGCTGGGAGAGTTTCATAAACAGTCTTTGGTTCAATGACAGGGTGGCATTTGAGGCAGCTGTCCTGCAGGCCTTGGGCCATTCTACAGGAAGCCAGCAAGTTCACAGGGGAGCCACGTGGCTCTGTGGATGCTGAGCTGGCAGGATTTTCCTGGAATCAACTAGAGCAAGGAGAACCGGGTATATTACATAAGGAGGGCCAGAGTCAAGAGTCCCAGGGATAGGGAACCAGGTAGTAGTAGTCATCATGCTGCAGCTTTTTACCAGAAATGCCCACAGAACAGGACCACTTTGGGAAGCAGGGAGGAGGCTCCACTCATTAGGCAGCATTCCAAATATTGGCTTAGAGAGGGCCACCTACCAGGACATGCACTCACAGATCCCATGTGACAGCCAAAGGCTTCCGCAGGGTCCCACGTGGGCTGGGCCCTTCAGGCCACCAGCAGGGGTCTCTACAGCTCCTGTCAGCTCTGTCCATTCCAGCCAGGCTGCGCTCTCCCTCCACTGATGGCCGTATGAATATTCCAGGCCTGCTCTGGGCCCTGTCTTTCCTTGTCCCTCGGGTATCAGACACACCCTCAGTCTCAGCCAAGGAGTGCTGCCTCCGGCTTCGACAGGCGTCCCACCTCCAGAGAGCTGAAAACATTGCACCCCACCCCACACCACAGACCCTCCACAGATGGCCTCTGCAACCACCATCCTGCCTTTCTCTTCTCTTCCTTGGGTAAAGCTATATTCCCACAAGTATCAGATGAAACACCCATTCTCTTTGGGAAGCCTTCCCAGGGGGATGATAACTCTGGAACCAGAGTCAAGGCCTACAGATGACAGGAAGGAGCCCTTTCTACTCTGCGGGTTCCACCCTCCTGTTTGTGAAGCTTTAGAGTTTACAGAGACCTTTCTCACAATCTTCACATTTTGTTCTGGCCACCACTGAGTAAAGCAAACATTATTAATCCCATGCAAAGAATGGAGACTCTTAGATGTGAAGAGTTTACACGTGACCATTCTAAGGTCACCCAGTTACTCAATGGCAGAACTTGAATTCAAATCTTGTCATTTAATTCCAAGTAAAATCCTTTCTCCAGTGAGATAATAATAGCTACCATTTATTGAGACTGACTATGTGCCATGCCCCCATCTATATGCCTTAGACACATAAATGTAGTCAAGCCTTAGGAAAATTCTATCGGATAAGGTAATGTTATTATACCCATTTTAGGGATGAGAAACCGAGGCACAAGGAGGTTATGTAACTGCCCAAGGTCACACAGCTATCCTATGCTATCCTATAGCGGTCTAAACTTTTGCTCTTCCTACTCCACTACAAAGCATAAACTCAGGCTAGAAATGTTCATTAAAGCCTCGCTCCGCTGTTCTCTTTGTCTCTGTGTTCACTTAATGAATTTGGACCAGTGAGTGTGTTTCTCACAAGCTCTGATATGTAGCTTCCTTTTTCCTATTCAGCCAGCACATTCTCATTAAGATATGACTTGAGGACATGGAGGTCATTAAAGTGATCACCATACCATGCAACGGGAACATATCGTCAAAAAAAAAAATTCTCTGTCTCCAGCAGTACATGCCATTCAGGGTTTTTTGCAACTGCAACCACAATAGTTGATAAGGGTATTTGAGATTTGCCTCCCAAAGATATAGACAATGTACCATATTATCATACATCCCTGTAACAAGGTTCAAAGTACATTAAATAGTATTGTTATACTGATCTCATCCTTTGCCTAGCAAAAGCTTAGAATATTGTCTTCTGAATTTCTACATAAATGCAAACATTTATATGCTACTTCCTATCACCACATTTCTGTTTTAGCTGACTGAATGCTAAATGATGTAATCAGAAGCAAAGTTGTTATTTAGGGTCTTTGAATTTTTTTCCTTAAGAATACCAGGAGACTTTTCACCTAATAATTAATGAACTCTTGAAGGTTAAAAGCATTTTTACTATTTTAGAAATAGGTATTTTTAGAAATCTCATACTCCACAAACAAAATTTCCACAGAGAAATATTAAAAATTTTTCCATCCAAGCAGAATAGGGTCAGAAAACCTGCTGAAGTGCACACGTCGGAAGTGTCCCTTCTGCTCTGTTCCCTGAATAATTCATCAGTGGGGCCCTAGTAGGCTTGAAAAATAGGCCTCTGCATAATTGTTTCTAAGTGGAAACTGGGTTTTCAGGCGAGTTGTTTGGTGGGAAATCCCAACTGGTATAGTAAGAGCCTTACCTTTCAGGTGCCCTGATTTGGTATTTCAGTCTACAGTTCCAGAACTCCGGCTGTCCTTTCCTGTTCTGAGAGATGTGGGCTGGGCACGGCCAGAGCCAAGCTCCCCTGGGGCCCACAGCCCAGGGCCCATGCTAACCTGCCTGGGCTGCAGGAGGGGCTGCCACTCTAGGTCTCCCAGGCTGACAGCAGCACGTCCAAAATGGGGCTGACGGACTAAGGCCACATGACAGGTGAGACAGAAGGGTCACACAGTGCCTGCAGGTGCCTCTGTAAACTCAAAAACAAAACAAAATATGCCAGGAAAGGGGAGCGGGTCATTCCATCAGTGCCTAAAAATACCCAAGGAAGAGCATGGAATCATCTCAGCACCCCAGAGCTCTGAAGAGTGTGTTTACCAGAAAAAGAAAAGGGTTAGAGGAGAAGGGAGGAGAGCCTGGAGACGGGCAAAATCGTATTCAGGTCACTCAAAGGCTGGCACGAATGCCCCGGGCAGAGAGATGCTGGGAGAGTTTCATAAACAGTCTTTGGTTCAATGACAGGGTGGCATTTGAGGCAGCTGTCCTGCAGGCCTTGGGCCATTCTACAGGAAGCCAGCAAGTTCACAGGGGAGCCACGTGGCTCTGTGGATGCTGAGCTGGCAGGATTTTCCTGGAATCAACTAGAGCAAGGAGAACCGGGTATATTACATAAGGAGGGCCAGAGTCAAGAGTCCCAGGGATAGGGAACCAGGTAGTAGTAGTCATCATGCTGCAGCTTTTTACCAGAAATGCCCACAGAACAGGACCACTTTGGGAAGCAGGGAGGAGGCTCCACTCATTAGGCAGCATTCCAAATATTGGCTTAGAGAGGGCCACCTACCAGGACATGCACTCACAGATCCCATGTGACAGCCAAAGGCTTCCGCAGGGTCCCACGTGGGCTGGGCCCTTCAGGCCACCAGCAGGGGTCTCTACAGCTCCTGTCAGCTCTGTCCATTCCAGCCAGGCTGCGCTCTCCCTCCACTGATGGCCGTATGAATATTCCAGGCCTGCTCTGGGCCCTGTCTTTCCTTGTCCCTCGGGTATCAGACACACCCTCAGTCTCAGCCAAGGAGTGCTGCCTCCGGCTTCGACAGGCGTCCCACCTCCAGAGAGCTGAAAACATTGCACCCCACCCCACACCACAGACCCTCCACAGATGGCCTCTGCAACCACCATCCTGCCTTTCTCTTCTCTTCCTTGGGTAAAGCTATATTCCCACAAGTATCAGATGAAACACCCATTCTCTTTGGGAAGCCTTCCCAGGGGGATGATAACTCTGGAACCAGAGTCAAGGCCTACAGATGACAGGAAGGAGCCCTTTCTACTCTGCGGGTTCCACCCTCCTGTTTGTGAAGCTTTAGAGTTTACAGAGACCTTTCTCACAATCTTCACATTTTGTTCTGGCCACCACTGAGTAAAGCAAACATTATTAATCCCATGCAAAGAATGGAGACTCTTAGATGTGAAGAGTTTACACGTGACCATTCTAAGGTCACCCAGTTACTCAATGGCAGAACTTGAATTCAAATCTTGTCATTTAATTCCAAGTAAAATCCTTTCTCCAGTGAGATAATAATAGCTACCATTTATTGAGACTGACTATGTGCCATGCCCCCATCTATAGCCTTAGACACATAAATGTAGTCAAGCCTTAGGAAAATTCTATCGGATAAGGTAATGTTATTATACCCATTTTAGGGATGAGAAACCGAGGCACAAGGAGGTTATGTAACTGCCCAAGGTCACACAGCTATCCTATGCTATCCTATAGCGGTCTAAACTTTTGCTCTTCCTACTCCACTACAAAGCATAAACTCAGGCTAGAAATGAAGTAATAAATAGATAAGAACCCAAATAGACAATACAGGAGAAACAGAGCCAATGGCTAGGACCCTGACAAGGGGGTGCTCACCTCAGCCCACAAGCAGCAGCAGGTGTTGGCTACTAGATCTGGGTAGACCAGCAACACCAACCTATTTGAGGTTTAGTGACAGTGTTGACTGGGGCCCGCAGGAGACAGAGGGCACACTCCCAAGTGTTCAGCTGAAGGCAGGATTAAAGGAAGCAGCAAAGATGAGACGGCACCAAGAGAAAACAAACACCGGAAGCTTTTACTGCCACCAAGCCTACCAGGGCAAGGAGAGGGAAGGCGTCACCAGAACACGGTGACCAGGGGACAGGGACTGCTTGCCAGGAGCCAGGGCCTCAGCCACCGACTGAGCTTCCCTTCACCCTCCACCCCTTCAGGTACCCCTGATAGCAGAAAACTCCAGGAAGCCAGCGGGCCAAGGGCCTGGCAAAGCCATCCATAGACACACAGCTCTCAGACCACGGCAAACAGAGTGCTTTAAAACAATACAAATTAGTTACCTCACAGTTCCGGAGGTCAGAAGACCAAAACCAGTTCCAAAATCAAGGTGTCTGCACAATGACGGTTCCTTCTGGAGCACTAGGGGCAAATCCATTTTCTTGCCTCTTCTACCTTCTACTGGCTGCCCATATTCCTTGCCATGTGGTCATACCATTCACCCTATGTTTCCATTAACATATTTCCTTCTCTCCTTTCTGATTTTGTTACAGTAGGTAGACAGAAGCAGGGAGAGGGGTGGGGACTTTGGCTGGTGTTTATATTCAGTTAGAGGCTTGATTATATTCTAAACACTCTATGCAAAATGTTTTCACAGGATGTGGGGAGGGAGGGTATAGATACCAGACCTGCCAAAACTGGCTGGTTCCAACATGAAGGAGAACTTGACCCTGACTTCACCTCAAAGTCCATTATATGCTCATTAGACACTAAACATCACATCCCTTGGCACCATGACAAGTTCCAAGGAAGACCATCTAGGGACAAAAAGAGTGTGTCACCCCATTTCCTAGAAGTCTCCTCCTTATTCTGAGAAAACCCCACCTAACCTGCTGAATATTCCACCCCTACTTCA